CCTTTGGTAGCAGACAACCAAGGAGGAATCTTTCTCGCAGTCAATCCCGCTCACGACCGAAGGCTCAAGCACGTCGACATTCGATATCACTTCATACGCGAATACGTAGAAGAAAAACGAGTGGATATAGTCTACGTTAGTACGGACGAAATGATCGCCGACACATTGACGAAACCACTTGGTGCAACGAAATTTGAGCGCTTCCGGTCTATGCTAGGCTTGGTCTTCAGTAGATTGGGCAATAACTAGTCGAGTGGGAGTGTCAGAACTGGGCGATTACGTCATTGCCCTGTACGGACTAATGGGGATACATCACATGACCCCCGATTATCTTGTAGTAATACGACATATGATTACTCATGCTTAGTATACATGCTTACGCTCACAGTACCATAGGTCTTATAGCGATATCAGAGGTCCTGACTCACATGTATATATACTGGCCCTGTAGCACAGAATAAAGCAAGAGTTCAGTCGCACTTTAACACGCTATTGGTCTTTCGACTGTCTTAGTGTCTCCATTTAGCTCTACAAATGCAGCCCAATTATCCTACATAAACGTCCCTGGACTCGGACTCCCACAGAGCACCTGCAACGTGGTGACGGCCTCAAGCCTACCATCACGTTCTTGAAAACTTTGCTACCCGAAATTCACTTGAATGGCATACAGCGAAGTGATATAGAACAGGACGCGGAGTTTCTCGAGAACGTCTGCGACGTCGAGGTCGTGGTCATGGGTCGAAGCGACTTGACTCTACACCTTGAAGTGAGCGTACCTCACACTGGGCAAGGATATAGTGGCTGGGCTACTATCCCGAGGATTTAACTCCCCTCGCCAGGGATATTTTGAATTTGATGTTGGCCTGCGCTCATCGTCACCGAATGATTGTGATGTGCGTATGAGTCTTGGCCGTGGGTCTTCTCTCTCGACCAGGTATCTCAAGCTAATCGCGCTGACGTAGCAAACGTACACTTCGTCCTAGTGGCACCCCGTGTGTGTACCCCGGACTACGCTGCGGGTCGTCGAGCTGCACAAGGTGGCGGACGGCCACTGGCAGCCGATGCTCTATCTCTCGCCTGACTATTCAGGGTACCCTATGCCGCGGTACGGTGAACTACGCGCAAGAATGCATGATAAGCCGAGGCGAATATGCGCCGCCAAGCGAGAGCAAGAGCGAGTGGCCACCCTCGGGTCCCATGCATCGAGAGACGTGGGGGAACTTGGTATTGAGGGATCCGAGAACTCGACCAGCGAAACTCTACGACGCATAAATGGCGTACTTCACCCCTGATACCTAATCATCGCGTGTAGTATGATATGTCAATTCCTTGCACGTGAAGATCGATGAAATGAAATACGATAATGAAAAAACCTATGAGAACAAGGAAATCTACATCGCTGCGTCCACTTTTTTGTTCCTTTTCTGTTATCTATCCTCCACTTGTGACGAGCTCCGTTTTCTCTCCTACGATTTCTTCTCTCCTATTTTGGGTATTTTCCACAGACCTATATCTTGATTTTTTCGAGTTTTGTTCGCGGCTTGTTTTGGTCAAAATTGATATATACTTCGCGAGACCGATGACCGAACGCTAAGCGTTAGGCGTCGAGGAGGACATAGAGAGCTCTTCCTTCAAGCTTGAAAGTGAAGGGCCGCCTTGTGCGAGAGCACTGGCTGCAGAAGTCCCGGGCAGCCTTGTACCGCGCTCGCAAGCGCTGTGAGGAACGGATGTGAGTCTCCGTACCATACCAAAACTCACCGGCATATGGTTACTTACCGAAGACAAGGGAGCCGGGGACGTCGGTAGTTGGCATGCTATTGTGGCTACGGGCAAGGGATGTCCGTCACCCGCAGGGAAAGCAGATGATGACACAGACGATCGGAAGAGAGTGTGGGGTGGTTGGGAAAGCGGGGACAGAGCGTCCGTTCCGATGATTGGCGGAGGAAAGGGGATGACTACGGACGGTCACTAGTACGCCGCGTCGATTAATGAGGAATAGATGGGCCGCCACCGTGTGATTAAGCTTGCGAAAGCGGCTGTTGTTGTCCGGCGGGGGGCCACAGGACTCAAGGACGATAGTGCGAACTTGGATGAAGCAGCGATTGGAGTGAATACGGATTGGTAAATGCAGGAAATTATGTTCACGGCCGGTGAATCAGGCGGTGCTTGAAGTGCTTGAGGTGCTTGATTAGTGTGGTTTGTGCTGGAGTAGGCTGTCGTCGAGCGAAACAAGAGTCGATAGATAGCAGTCTAGGGTCGCGGAAGCGAGAAACTTGATGATCCGTCTGACAGAGTGTGAGTCCAGAGCCGAAAGAAAGGCATAAAAATTGAAGACCGAAAGCAGGGCGAGCAATAGAGGTCGAAAGCGGAAGACGAGAAGCAGTAGCAGAGATATCGGATTGAAGGGTGTATGCCGAGAGCGAAAAGCAAATATCGAGCACGAAGAGATGACGTGTGTTGGCAGACTCATTAAAATGCGAAGCGGCGAGCTGCCGGGTGGCGGTAGAGCGCATAGACGAGATGATCAGGTCGGGGGATAAACAGTTTAGCGGAAGGAGAGTCGCGAGCAGATGCGGGTGATCGAAGAGGTTACGCTGCTAAACCAGCTCACGAGGCGCTTAAAGATGCTAGGATGCTAGGGAGGCAGTCAGTACGGGCTGAGATTACTGTAAAATTTCAGGCATACCCGGATAGCAACGGCCATCGCAACACCAGGGGGAATAGAGATATCTCGCTGGTCGATAAATTTATCGTTCAATGGTTCACTTTCCTCTTCGGCGACGATGGTGACAGTGGTAGTGATGCCGGCCATCATCCCGAAGAAGGCGGGAGGCGGAGCCATATTGAGAACCTGAGGAGGTGACGGAATGACGTCTCGAGCGATGGACTCGGAGCTGCCCAAAGGAATATCGTCGAAGGTATCGTGGGACACAATGGACTGCTCCTCCACCATGCTCATGGGCTCGTCTTCATTCTTGACTTCGAAAACAGAAGCAGCGTAGTGGAACTCTGGGTGTGGGTCCTCCTCAACCGGATACACACCCCCGCCGGAGAATGAACCGAGGAAGGTCTCAGAACCATGAGAGGCAGCACGAACTAGGGGGACGCCGACGTTCGGGATGTCGTTCGTACCGTTCAAGATCGAAGACCAATCACTACAAAGGTTCCATGTGAGCCGGTACGACATATAAAGTGATAACAGACTGACAAGTCATCGAAGAATGGGTGGCCAGTGGCTTCCATCAACGTGAGACGCCAAGACGGCTCAGTCTCCAGCATCTGGGCGGTAAACCTACTCAGCTATCTTGTCTCGCAGGAACGAAGTTGGAGGATCTACCATTTCAAGGAAACTCCGTGTGCAATCATCAATCTTCTTGCCGTCGAGCCAGCCATCTAAAGTGGTATGGAGCAACTTCTGTTCCGTGAGAGCCCGGTCATCGTCCCAGTGGCCTGTCCAAGGAGTCTTCGACGATCCTTAGCTTCACAATTCGGAAATGTTACTATGCGAAAGAGACTCACGCGTCCAACGAGCATCTCAAAAACCACTATGGCGAAAGACCAAACGTCGGCGGAGAACGCGTACGGCATGCCCTGGTACACCTCAGGCGACATGTACTGCAAAGTTCCACACCAGGTGCGCAAAAACTCATGCATCTCGGACCCAGGGAAGAACTGACAGCCGGAGGTGATGACAGACTTTGCCATGCCGAAGTCGGTGAGGATGAGGTGGCCAGTCTCAGAAATGAGGATGTTGTCGGGCTTGATATCGCGATGAACTATACCAAGATCGTGGAGCGTCTTGATTGCAACTAGCTGTGATAGAACAAGTTAGGACGTCATAAATTGTGAGATTATGGACACTCACAAGTTCCGCGCCATACATTCTGACAAGGTCCAGAGGGAACCGCCCCCGGCGACGGATTTGCTGGCGCAGGTCTCCGCCCGGATAGTATTTCTACGTCATGATGTCAGCCTCATCGGATACGAACGGCATTGACACGCTTACCATCAAGAGGTAGTAATTGTCGTGGTTGTGAAAGCTGCCGAGGAATTCGTTGATGCCGTTGCTGCCGCGGGTTCCAACCTGCTGGAGTATGTTCTTCTCGCGAACAACGGCTGCTTCGTCTACAGTCCGCTTGTTCATGACTTTCATCGCCACCCGAGTTTGCGTTGGCTCGTGCTCAACCAAGTACACGTCCCCATAAGCACCGAAACCGAGGGGCCGGACTTGTTTGAAGTCTGAAACTTTGAGCCGGAGGGAACGGGAAGATGACTTGAGGACGAGTGCGGGGGATGCGGCTGGCAGATCGAGGTCCTCGCAAGTCGCAACTGTCGATATCTTCAAGTTGCAGTGGGAAACGGAAGCCACAACGGTCAAGGAAGTGGAGAGCTGCAACAGAATCAGCAATCGATGCGGACATGACCACAAGACGACTTACGGTGGAACACGAAGTTGCGCCGTATGCCCTCCCGGAAAGTCGGCGAGAAGTTCTGAGACTGAGTACCTCCGGCGAGTGTGCGGCGTCGTTCAAGAGTGCCGGGAGAATTTGCTCAGCCATACAAGTCGTGTGGATCTTGTAACTTCATCAGATACTGACGAGAAGGTACGATAGAAGCCGTACCACGAAGCTCAAAGAGTTTTCCTTCTCCTCCACGCTCTCGGACACATGACGAACCTGGATCATAATCTACTGGATGGTTAGCTTCAGCGGTCATATACGAGGTGGGATCACACCTTGACATCTTCGCTTTTATCCTTGTTTTCGCGCCCGAAAGTCTTGAATTTGGCGAAAAGACCCATTATTGAAGAGAATATCGGAGTAGCGGAAGCGAAAGGCAAGTCAAAAGCTAAGAACAGGGTGACCACAAAAACAAGAAGAAACAAACAGAAAACAAGCAAAGAGACTGGAGGAAAGGAGATAGAAGAGATACAGACGGTCAGCAAGCGGATGGAGACCAAGCATAGATAGGGACAGTTAGCCCGTCAGCCCCGCGGCAAGGGCTCGCTGAAAGCTTGCTGACATGATTAATGTACTTGGAGGCATTGGTGACGGTCAGCCACCCAGTAATATTTCGTCCCCAAGTCTCAGAAAGTAATGGGTTGTGTTGGTCAGGACGGCTCTTGACGGTTCGTAGCATAGCGTGATAACAAACAGAATGACATCAATGCGCCCGTAAAGAGCCAGGGCAGCTCATAACTGCGTGCCTCACTGACGCAGTCGCTTCGTGGCGTGAGATTCATGTAAGCGCCGCGGACGGGTGATCATGTCGGGTTCGGCTGACCTGGATGAACAGCATTGCCAAAGTCCATACACATAGCATACCTAATGCCCTGCTGTTACTCCCGCTCGGAATGGTTGAAGCCTTCGCCGAAGGCTCTGGAGGATCGCCAGTTGAACAGCCGCATGTACATGGGGAAAGCAAGCTAGAATTTTGCTCCCCCTACCATGTATCAATTTGACCAGAGATCAGAGAAAAGGACCAGAATGCACCGCAGTTCTCGAGATTCGAGGTTGACAATGGTTTTGCGTTCGCTCTGTTCGGGCGCCCCGAAGATGACCGCAAGCGTCGAGCGGAAAGGCGGGCGGTTACGTAAGTAAGGGCGGCGTGGCTGGTAAACTGTACAGTTTATGACAGATTCGGAAGGCGGCATCACCGCTCACGGCAAACCCTGGCAAGCTCAGCACGCCACCGCCGACGACCTCAAGAACACTTTCAAAATGGTGAATACGATACCAGCTGACATTATGGGGAGGTGCTGACGGTGTATACTACAATGATAGACAAAACGTACCCGCAAGGTTGGCGTTACCGGCAAGTACGGTACTGTGAGTAGACTTTCTTGAAGCACGACGAGGGGAAGGCGAAAGATTTGCTGGGCGAGGCATGCATCTCGGAGAGAATTGGCTGAGCTGACTATTGGTTTTGGCTGTAGCGTTACGGTGCCTCCCTCCGTAAACAAGTGAAGAAGGTACGCAATACTACTTTTCTGAGCCCTGACGCAACTTGACTCGGGCCGTTTCACTAGATGGAAATAACGCAGCACGCGCGGTACACTTGCACTTTCTGCGGCAAGGTAAGTCTTCTTGAAGACAACCCTACGAAAGACTGCGTACTGAGCTGTGTAACAGGACTCCGTCAAGCGCCAGGCGGTCGGCATCTGGAGTTGCAGGGCCTGTAAGAAGACCATTGCCGGCGGTGCTTGGACCGTCACTACTACTGCTGCTGCCACCGTTCGGAGGTGTGTCTTGAAGAACTTGTGTGTATGGATTGTTCTGACCTGATTACAACAGTACCGTCCGTCGGCTGCGCGAGATTACCGAGGCATGAGCTATATTATTGGGTCGTTTTGTCATGCTCTGCTCTCGCATTCCCTCCCGTCATCGCCGTATGCATGTAAAACCCACCTTATGGCACGTTCGCAACTATGCTCCACCGCGACAGTATGAAAGTATGCGTACCTTTTGATTCGCGGAAGCAAACCCTGTGATACAATCGGTTCCAGAGGATGCTTGAGACTGAGCAATACCGCAAAGACGGTATCTGGTGCAATGCACGAGTTTCGTTAAGGCGTCGATGAGCTCAGCTACACTGCATAAATGACATATACCGTCCATGTTGCACACTTGCAGGAGCAAATCGCAAAAATACAACGAAAATGTTTCATTATAACAACTAACGCATACTACACCACTGTTATATTGTATCGTACATCTTGGAGCTCAACGGGGGTATATTACTCTTCATGGATAGAACCATGTTGCGAAGACTCTTCTTCCCCTTCCTCGTCCGCCGCTTGTTCTTCGCCGCCTGACTTCTGTTCGTCATCCTCCTCGTCCTCGTCCTCTTCAGGGTCGCTTTCAAGGAAGGTCAAAGAAATGTACTCATCACCTAGCTGTGCATCTTCGGCTGTAAGCACCTGTGAACTAGCAACGTTACCAGAACCAAGGTCAGCCCCAGACGAAGAAGCAGCAGGGTCCGAGGTGGCCTTGGAGTCCAAAGAGGAGCCAGCGTTGGGGGTCGCGCCTTGTCCCGTGGACGGTCGCGGCCGGTTCCTGTTGGCACGGATGACGTGCGGGAGCTTGCATCCCTTGGTGTTGCAGACGCCTTTCTCAGCAAAGTCGGGACATTCGCGAACGTGCTGGTTTTCGCAGTCGAGACCCTTCTCGCAATATCCCAACACGGCGAAGTCGCGACACACGCCTTCTCGAGCGCCCACCCGAACATGAGGGAACGGGCAGTTGGGCCTCGTGCATCGGCCTTGGTTCGCGAAGTGCACGCACAGAGGAGTACGCTGGGGAGTAGGATCATGGGAAAGAGGGCAAGTAGAAGTAGTGTGCGGGCAATTCCCCTGCAGGAAGGGCCAGCAGATCGCAATTTTGGCAGGATCATGCTGATAAGGACAAGTCAGGCCCCGAGTGCACGCTCCTGTGACGGCAAATTGTGAGCGGACAGATACCAGAAGAGATCGTACTCACCTGTCGTCGTAAATCGCGCACAGGGCTTCTCTACGACCTTGCGACGGCGGGCACTTGCGGAGCGAGACTTCAGCTGTGAATTCGAAAGAATAATACTAGAGACACACCCTGCATGATAAGGTCGGCGGGTATTATTCAAAGTCATGTTGCGGTTTGTCGGTCTACCACAAGGGCAATGGGCTAGGTTTGTGCAGTCTCGGGGGGTCACAGTTTTGTCACGTCTCTCGAGCGGTCCATCATAAACCGGCGAGCTATCGCCAGGTGAGGAACGGTGATGATCTGCGTCTTTCTGTGGCATACGTTCCATGGAAGTTTTGGCGCAGCGGATGTGTGCGGCGAACGCGGCTGAT